GGATTCATTAAAAAGTTGTCTACAATTTTTTATTTACATTCATAGCAAGAGAATAGAACCATAAAGCTTAAATACTATAAAATCAAAGCTTGTCTTTTGGCCTGAATAAAAACAAAGCTTAAGTGCCAAAAAAGGGGGTCTGGAGTTCTTCTAGGCTTTGTAAGGTCAGGGGCATTGAGTTTTGGGCTTCTGCAATGTCAGGGGCGTGGGCAACAGGAGTGGCAACAAGGTTGATTGGCACCAGGGCTTGGATTGCTAGCGACAAGGTTGGTTGGCATTAGGAGGTCTTTTGCAAGGGTCATTGCTTAGTTTTGCTTTGCTTCGCTTCTGCAGTGTCAGTTGTGAGAGAGGCAGGAGACAGATCGTATTGAGATGAAATTTAAGGTTAATTTGAGTGTGATATTGCTTTTTTTTTTTTTTTTTTTTTAAATTAAATAAATTAAAATGACAGATTTACCCTTAAAAATGAATCTAATTTGCTGAAATGGGGTCATTTCAATCTTTTAAAAAGGAGAGTACAATAGCATGGATAGCGGGCGCCATCTGCTCTCTGGATTGCGGTGGCTGTAGAGTGTCTGAAGCAGACACTACTAGAAAACCACCACGTTATGGCTGTTTTCATAGCGGCAGCCCCTATGGGCACTACGCTATGGCTGTTATAGCGCCATAGCGGGCGCTATTGACAACACTAGGTGACATTATATCGGTAATCATGCATCTCCTGTTGTCATTTTCCTGCTATTGTGGTTGACTCCAACAGGGCAACAGGCACATTGGCATTGCAAAGATAGAGGTGTGAATTACCATTTAATTTATGCATTCTAAATTTTCTCAAAGGCCCTAACTAGCAAGTTTACCATAAGAACATGCTTTGCATAAATGTGAATCTCCTGAATAGAATTTGAGATGAAAGTTGAAGATCTAAACTGCTAGATATTCCCTAGGACCTAAGTTTATTTGGACAATAGAGACTAGATTTTACATAAATTATAGTGGCCAAAACCTAATGGAGCTCCTATTTCTCAGGTTGCTCTCTCAACCTTTGATGAGAGTCTGTTTACTTTTTTAAATGCACTTACAATTCCAAGTTGACCCATCCCTGCCTTGGACCTTTCTTGGGAAATGGCAAGATACCTTGGACCTCTTGGTTTCTCCAATACCCCATTTCCTTTTTGTCTTTGATCAACTGAAGGAATAACATGGCACATTTGGTTCCCCTTATGGTCCTTGCTGGATGTTTCTTGTGCCATAGCTTGCAGGATTGATCATTTTAGAAAATCAGTGTTTGTTAGATTCATTTGACAGACATTAAATGGGCAATTGAGCATCAAGAGTCTCTGTGGGGAGTTAACCTTAGTTCATTCACCATAATTGCAGATTCTATTGGTATATCTAGATATGTAAAGCTTACATCAAAGCGTGCATGAATTGTGATCACTGGAGGGTGTACATAAAAAAGTGCATGGAACTTTAAAATGTCAGAAAAGCTTGTGGAAAAACTTGGTGCTGCAGGTAGACCATCAATAATACTTCCATTGCATAGGACTGAATTTTACATGGTACTTGCCATTCTAGTTGTCATTTCATTTTTGGAAAAGAGAAGTTTCATTTTTTTAAACTCCTACTGGCATTAAAGAGCTTAATAGTGAGTTTTCATGTTCATAGATTCCAAGAACTCCCTGTCTTCTTTCCTCAATTCCTATAAATATGAAATAGTCATAACAACCTTTGTTTTTATAATAATAGTTATTATCTTAGTAATTTTAATGTTTTCTCTTCTGTTCAGTTGGTGCTACCCAAGCTGCTGTGGATGCTGGATTTGTTCCCACTGACATCTATAGGTTAACCATCATTGTAAATAGATTGCTTTGAAGAAGTCTGGTTTTGATATCACCTATCTTCAACCAAACAAAAATGGGCGAAATAGAAAAGATTTGATAGAATAAATGGTCAATTGTGCAGAGTTTTAGTGCAAGTATGCAAAACAAACAATTAACATGGAGTGCTTGAACACATTACTTTCTTTTTCATACCATTCTGTCTGGAACTTCACATTCTGTTTGAAAAACATAAAAATATCTTCGTGTTAGGATGCAAATTTCACGAAAATTTCACCACATCGCAATTGAACCAAATGTGAAATGGCTTGAAAGACCTTTATATCAGTGAGTCCTCTGCTATTAGTTATCATATTGTACTGATCCATCTTACATGTTTATCTGTCTAATAGAAGTTCATGATTGCTTTTGTTGTCAGGTTGGTCAAACTGGAAAAATTGTGGCCCCAGAAGGATACATAGCATTTGGTGTTTCAGGAGCCACCAACATTTAGCTGGCATGAAAGATTCAAAGTTAACAAACATGCAGATGCTCCCATTTTCCAGGTAGCGATCAGAATCCCTCTCTCTCTCAGCACCCACACATCCAAACACAAAGAAGCACTTAAAGGAGGCAATAGCCTAAATTATGACTATGTAAGTTGTGATTTGTAGTAATTACATAACTAACTGGCTGCATAAAAAATAAGAAGCTCCTGGGAATTGAATCTTGATAGTAAGTTTTCTAAATAATCACAGTTCTGCTTGAGTTGAGCTTGTAGTGAAATTTCTATATTATAGGCACCAAGCAGATTGATTTTATGCTCAGTGGTCCTTGAAAGTTAAAATATAAGGCAAAACCAAATAATGTGTATGTTTAGCTCAGATTCAGCTTTCCAACTCTGCAAAACATGCTTTGCATTTTACCTTTAACAAGCTTGTAACAGATATCCTAGACTTCTACCATGTGCATTGAGCATTCTCGTGATTAATTAACTCTTGAAATGACGGTAGCTGATGAAGTGATGCCAGAGTTGTGAGAGAAGCTTCCCAAGAAAAATTGGGCCTTCCTGCTGCTGCTCCCACCTTTGAATAATGTAATGTAGTGTCCTGTATTTTGCTCTGCTTCACTTCTTTGGTAAAATAAACGGTTTTAGGAAATACTGGAATTGCTTCTTTGATGAAGTGTTAACTAAAGTTACATGCACTGCAAAGATGGTTAAAAACTAGTTATCTGAATAAATAAATATGAATGCAGAGGATGCATGCTTAACTTTCAATTGCTTTGTGATGCATCTTCATTTTCGTTTCAGCTCTATGGGTTGTTATAATTACATTTTTCTCAACGTTCAAACTTTTCCTTTTTATGAAAATGTTGCTTTTTTTATACTTAAAAGAAACTTGACTATACAAAAAGGAAACCGTTTCCATTACCATCAGCAAACAAACTTCAAAGCCCACATCAGTTATTGACTTGACCGTAAAAAATGGAAAACCTAATTCAAATTACAAAATGCTGCAAATTGGATAGAATAAGAGGTGTTTCTCAGTTCATTCTGGATTTCATCATTCCCTTGCTCGTTTCTCTCTCGGTTACTTTGGAGTTTGGAAGCTGATAGAATCTCAACATGCCTTCTAATTTCACTTGCATAAAAGCAATCAAAACTCTCTTGCCTTTAACATTAGTACACAGGTTTGCTTCTCCGTTCTGATTGCGATTGCGATTGAATAGGTTTTTCAGAAAGTCATCTGCAGACTCAACTGCAGACACAATTGAATTACGGATCTCTCGGTAGGATTCGCAAGCCAGCTTTACAAGGTAGAAGAACCATAGGATAAGCACCGGCCATCCAACGTAAGGCTCGATAATCAGAAGCAGCAGGATTAGAGCTAGAGATCCGGCAAGGAGGAAGATTGTGCTCACAATCGCCCGGCAATCTGAACCGGCAGCTTGGAGTTTGATTTCGACTCCCAGTGATATGGCACAGATGACGATAACAGTGAAAAATGCCAAGATGTGGAGCCTGTGAGTGTCGAAAGGGGAGGTCCCCGCCGATTGGAATCTTAGTTGCAGGAAGGTGCCCAATATTGAGACGAGGATGCCTAAAAGCCCGAGTAATGGTCGGGTCAAACTTATGCTGCAATTGAAGAAAAGAAAAGAAAAAATAGAAAGTTAAATATAAACATAAAAAAAATTAGTGCATAAATAAATTGGATTTTTAAAGGTAAGTGTATATTAATTGTATTTTTTATTAATTAATATAAAAAATTAAAAAATGGTTTAGTTATAATTTTTAAT